ACTCTGCAGCTCTCCTGGAGCGCTCTTGCTCAGCTTGGACTGCTGGCCGTGCCTGCTGTCTGTCTTAGTGGAGAGGCTGCTCCTCCCTGAAAATATTCCCTGTGAGTGGGACTGTTGGGGTCCTTGGCTTTTCCCAGCTGTGTACTGCATCCAGCACTGATTGACTGCAGAAGAAAATGTCCTCACATGGTCACCTCGCCCTTAACAATGTGTATGTTTGGCCTCTCAGCCTTTAACGAAATAGCACTAAACCATTTAGCTTGGATTCAGGAACTAAGCAGTTCATCCTTCCTTCAGGCAAGCCCTTCTTCATCAGAGCCTCATGAGCTCTCCCTCAGCCCCAGGCAGCAGCTTACTGACATTCACCTTGCTGGCATCCATTTTTAAGGTGTCTCAGCTGGGGCTGTCTGTCCCCGTGGCTTTTAATGAAGCAGTTACTTTCATTCATTGGGTTTTTTCTCCATGATGAGAAGTTACTCTGAAAAGAGAACCCTCCCTCCCACTAGCAATTGAATCCCATGAGCAACAGAATGTGTCAGGGTGTAATCTCACCTCTGCCCTGTGTCATTGGGGACCTCTGCACTGCCACGTGCCTGGTGCTGTGCAGATTCTGCATCACAGCAGCCCAGTCCCAATTCCAGCTGCTAAAGCTCTGAGTGCTGGGGAGTGGAACTGAGGTGCAGGAAAGCTTTTCTTGAATGATTTATCCACATGGAATAATTTATCAACGTGACGTGGGGCCAGTGAAATCACCAAGTGCAGCCTAATATGATTCTTTCCCCTGGACTTTGCTTAACAAATGTAGGTGACAATGCAGGGATTGCAAGGCTGTCCTGTCAGAGTAAACTGAGTCCCACTTACTTTTCACTGGTGTCTCCCTTGCCATGGAGCAGCTGGACCCAACATGGCAGGAGCTGCTGTGGGTCCTTTATGTGCATTTCCTTGAAGCTGGTAAATTCCTGGAGAGCCTGGACACCTCACCACTGCAGAGTTTACAGGGTTGGTTGTGTGTTCCATTTGCCTTCCATGGGGCACTCAGCAGTGCTGACCCTGTCCTTGAAGTGGCTGTGAAAAGAATAAACACATTAACAAAGGTAAAATAAATATTCTAGGTAACAGGAACATGTCTCTTGGTCACCTGGGCAGGGGAAGCTATTCTGTGTCAGGCCTGATGACCCCATGCTTGATCCAGAGACCTGGTGCATGGAGGGGCCTCTTAGTATGTCATAACAGCTAAATATGATTAGTAATTAGTATCCTTAAGCAGATTCAGGGTGGGTATGGTGGGATGATCTGGCATGGTTTTCCTTCTGGTGTTTGATGGCAGTGTATTTGCACTTCTCTAACTTTGTGGCTTTCACATGTTAATAATGTGTGGATGACAGTTTTAATCTTCAGAAAGAAGCATCTCTTCCTCTGAATCACTTTGTAAGGAAATGAATAGCAGTCATGGTTCCCATGTTTCAGTGGCATGCCACTTAAAATCTGGAATACCTAACACCTTTTCCAAAATTAACCACAACTGGGATCAAGGTGCACACCAATATATAAATAATATAGCAACAGTATATGAGCAATCACGGGTGTGGCTTCCATGTATGATTCAGACAAAATAATGAGCTCTGTGGATGAAAATAGGCATTTGGGTGGGGATTATGCAAGGCCTGAATTACGATGCAGGATGGGTGGGGGTAACACCTCTTTCAGTTTACAAATGCTAATCACAAGCTCAGCAGCCAGAAATTTCTGCAGTGCTATTTAACGAATATTAATAAGTATAATTAAACGTTGTGTGCTAGATTTTCAGTGCCAGGAAGCTGTGTGAAACAGAACGTTTGCTTTACGTTTTCAGTTTTAAATGAATACAAACTGTTCTGAAAGGCAAACTGACAGGAAATGGAAAGATTAGCCTACTTTACAAACAAAAGTTTACCCTAGGAACATTGAGTACACCCAAAGAAAATCAATAGGTTACCTAACTGCAGAGTGCCTACAAGCAGATAAAATGAGGGTTTACCTTCATCCCCAATTTCCTTCTTGACATAATCCAGTGAGTATGTATTTAACATACAGCTTGTAATATTAAAAGTGTTTATAAGGGCCACAGTCTGTAATCATGAGTTTGAAGGCTGGGAATTCCACCATGACTGATCTGGCCATCATGTTAACCCTGAATTCTTGACAAGACTTGGTTTGAACACCATCAGCAACTACTCTGCTGTAGTAACTGCCCTTGCAAAATTGGTGTCTTTGCCCTGGACTAGAAGGATGCTTTCCTTTTTCATGTCAAACTTAACAATTCACTCACACTGTTTAAAAACAGAACCAAGGCTGCAGCAGGAGCACATGTGATGTTGTTGGGTGCTCTTGTGCAGTTTCAGGATGGCAGTAATTGTGCCTGCTGCAGTCTGGGAGCAATGGAAAACTCCTAATGACAGCAACAACAATCAGTCCATTTAAATGACTGCAGATTTTAATGATGTCGTCAATCAGCATACTTCCGAATCAGGTTTACTTTCTGGTTTATCTCTTGTGATGCAAAAGAAGCTGATGATCAGCTACAGCTCTGTGTTATTTACTGACTTTATCTGTTTAACAGCAAGTTAATATGGTGAAGTTAAGCTAATGGGTTTTTCAAGTCACTTAGTACTAACACTGCCTCTTTTCAGGAAAAAGTGAGGCAAACATCCTTTCCTTCAGTTACAGCCAGACTCAGCTCCTCTGGGTTGATTTGCCAGTCACTCACCAAGTGAAGGGTGTTCTGCAAACAGAGTGAATATGACTGATGCCTTTTGCTGTCAGTTGTTACTCATTGTGCTTTTGCTTGTGCTGTCAGTGGTTTTGAGCCTGGGGGAGAGGGCACCCAGCACCTTCCTCCCATTCTCCCCAGCTTTGCTGCCGGACACATCCCAATGATCCTGGGCTGGGCCCAGCCCTCTGGAGTTCATTACAACCCCTTTGCCCCAGCCCAGCTGCTGCCCCCTGACACCGAGGAGTCCTCCCTGCCTGGCTGGGTGGTCCCAACAGGGCTCCTGAGGGGTGCAGGAGATGCTGAGGGCAGGGGAGCAATGTGGGCAACCTTCTCCTTCAGCCAGGGGGCTCTGAGCAGCATTGCCCTGCTTTAACACAAATTCCTGGACCCTCCAAACCTCAGTTTATCAAGTTGTAACTGCTTTGAAATGTGATTATTCCAGTCAAATCTAGCTCTCAAAGGCAAGCTGTCAGGCCTTGCTCAAGTGAGTCCAAACTCTAAATATTCAAACATGTGATCAGGCTGTTGCAAAAGCATGTTGTGTCCTGACAAGTCTTATCATGTGCCAGGGGATGAGCAGAGAAATGTCTTCTGGCCAGAACTTGCAAAGCTTCCCCCACAGCTCTATAGCCTTAATTACTCACTTGGAAAACGAAATAGTTTTTGGATCATGCAGACTGATTCCCAAAGCACAGGAATCTGTGTCTGAGAATATGTGCAAGGCTTCCCCTTGCTTTTGTCAGTGACCCCTTCACAAAAAGAACCACTGAATTGTGGACCAAGTCCTCAGTGAGACTGCTTTACTGCAGAATTTTAAAGATAAAACAGTCAAGTATTACACTGTAAGACTTGTAAGATACTTTCCTTGCCTGTAAGATACTTTCCTTGCACTCGAGGCATTTGAGCTCTGTAACCTGTTTGAATGTCTTGCTCACAGCCAAGCAGTTCCTTGCTTAACTTCTGAAATGTTAACTTCTTAACATTGTGCTGTAATTGAGCTGACACAGCTCACAATAGCAAAGTTAACATCACTACAGTGACTTTTTTTTTTTTAAATACTCAGGACTAAGTGGCCAGTACCAATACCCTCAGAAAAGGAGTATGCAATGCTTATTTTCCTAGGAGAAAAACACATGGAGGTTAGGTTAAGTCTTAAATGTTTTAGGAATTTCAGAAAAGGTTATGTAAGACCATTCAAAAGTCTAAGTTTCATAATGGTTTTGAGTTTTTTAGCACTATAAATATGATAATAGCTTTTACACAGAAGTAGCTCAAGTAAAAAAACCTTCTGCTGCTACATGAGCTGTTTTTAGGGCACCTCTACTGCTAACAGAAGTGAAATATGTGCTGGAATGCAAGGCTGGAGGTACTGTAGCAAATACCCTATTTTATACCAGATATGTTTAAGGTAAAAATGTGGAGTATCAGGAATGGAGTTGGGACCCAGAGGCAAAAGCCAGGAGAGATTTGTAGGGCATTACTTGGGTTTAGAGGAGTTCTACTGGAATGACAAGTACTGAGTCTGTGCCAGCTCTAACAGTCTGGGAGGCAGAGCTGCAGCAGGGATGGTGGAACTGAGAGTTTCCATTTTTCTGGGGCCCTAGAGTTACAGCCTTCCCCTTAAATATAATCACTTTTAAGCATAGATTTTACTTTTTCATCTTATAAAAACCCAGGGGGTGGAGGGAAAGTGGAGCTTTCAGTAGGCTGAGTATGAGCTGAAAGCCTTGCTCAGGATTAGGTAACTTGTTTATGTTTTGGAGCCTATCATCTGCATGGGCTCCTAGTGCTGTGGCACAGCACCTTCCTAAATAAATCTCAGCAACCCTCCAAGGTGTAAGGGACAGGGACTGGGCATTATTGTAAAACTGCATCTGACATTTGTCACATCCAGTACAATTCCAAGGCTGGTACCCTGGTTTATTCTGAAATAAACCCACTGACAGAAACATCCCCACTGCCAGACCAAGGCAAGAGTTTGCCTGCACACACAGCCAGAGGATCCAAGTTGTGTGATGCTTTCTATCCTCAGTAACCTCATCCATCCTACTGTGGTGAAATACACTTGCTTTGTGATAAGTATTCACAATTTCTTCCCCCTTTTAACCATGCTGGGTTTTAGCAGGTAAGGAATTGAAGACAGGAACACTTCTGCCCTTTCCTTTCTGTACAATGTGGCTAATGTGCTATAGGTGACTCTAGAAAAAAACCAAAATCTATTAATAATGTTAGGCCAGGTAACTTAATCTTACAGGATTTAGTTGTTTTATTGTCAGCACAAAACTATAGACACCATGCTACCAGTTAGTAGGGTGAAATTAAAATTAATGGTGTGCAGTGTGAGTTACTGAACACTTCTGCAGAAATCTTAAATTAAATGCAAGCTGAATTCAACATCTGTTGCACATTTAACATTACTAACTTTGAACTGTCCAGTAAATGCAGAACTAAAATGGAATTGCATGCACTATTCAATAAAACAAAAAACCAAAATGTATCATAAATAAGTATTTTATAACTTTATTAAACTCAAGACATGACAATATTCAAAATACAAAGTGAATTACTTTTTATTCAATACTGTACACAATGCAGAAATATCAGTGCATTTCTATAGCATGTATTTCACCTTCATTTAGTTTGTACTAAAACAAATAAAAAGTAAGCTTAAAATAGCTCAAACATCTCATTCAGCAGTTTAAACTGTAAACACCTTGTTTACTTCTGTCAGGAGGAACACATTCATCTTCTGCACCCCTGTTAATGAGCACCCCTTCTCTTGTGCTTATCTGTGAGAGGACAAATGTAACCAAACTGAGCACAAGAACTGCCAGGGTGGCACCTCAGTGAACTTCAGTGAATGGCTGAGGCACAGTGAGGAAAAACAGCAAAAGCAGCATCTGAAGCAGCAAGAGATGGGACTGACACTGTTCATAAATGGAATCTTGTTTTTTCCTCATACCCTCCTCCTCCTCCTCCCCTAAAATACTGAACAGAACCCAGAACACAAGGCCAGCTTGTGCTGTGTTTCTGTATTTAATACAGTCATAATTTCAGACTCTAGGTGAGCACATGGTTGTTACTGCTTACCTAACAGCAGCCCTGTGGCTGCTCAGGACACATTCACACATTTCTAGGATCCAGCAGGAAAAGAGCAGCAGCAGAGGCTTAGCAATAGCTGGTCCAGGTCTCTTCTAGGAAAAACTGCAAAATTGAGCCAAGTGTGTCTAGCAACTGAATTCACAAAATCTAACTCGCTTTAAAAATCTATTAGCATCAAATTAATTTGTAAGATAGATTAATCTTTCAAAATGCACTTCCAATATGCCTGCCAAGTCTTGAAGTGGGTATCTTATCTTGCATTTACCTTCTTATCAGACATATCCTAGTAAAAGAGGACAGTCTGTTCTCAGTAGAATTACTGTGAAAAAGAAATTTTGGAAAATAGCTATTACAAAAACTGAACTGCATTACTTGGTCTGTTGTTTGCTTTATAAGTGACTCTTAAGCAAAGATCAATTTTAATTTTTTTTTTAAATATTGTTGACTACCAAACATGTTCATCTAGGTAGCATACAACTGGCCAACTGTGACTACTATCCCTCCATGTTTCTGTGGAATCTTAGTAGGTTTTCAGCTTACATACCAAGACAAGAAAAGTCTTAAGAAACATATCGAATATATGCAGCATAAGAGGACTTTACCATCCACTTTTCAGTTCTCAGAGGACAAACTGCTCCTACTTCATTATCTGTAAGAACTTTGTAACATGATAAAGTTCAGCTCCATCCCAAGCAACTGAGCTGAGCCTGTGCTCCCAGGCACTACGGGGAAACCACGTAGGACAGGTGTTTTCTTTTCAGGGGACCACCCATGTCCATTCTGGGCTTTGAGTCCAGTTTTATTGGGGCTGAGGTGGCTGTGCAGTCACCAGACCAGGACTGAACCTCAGTGTTAGAGCTCCTCTCCTCTGCTTCTCTGAAGAATTTCTCATACTTGTCCAAATAGGGAGGTCTCTCTGGTAGCAGATAGTAGTGCGTTGAACTGGCCTTCTTACCATTTTCAATAATTGGAAGAATGCAAGGGACCCTGTTGGAAGATCCTTCACTGTTTTGTCTTTGTAGAGCTTTGCTGCTGACATATTTAGGATCAGGTGCAAAGCTCTGGGTGGGGGGCATGACCCCATTGAGGTATGATGGGAGGCTTTTGGGGCTGGGGGTGCGGGAATTGCTGCGGGACAAAGGCTCTCGAGGGGGCACTTTGGGGGGCCTGTCTTCATCACTGTATGCACTGGAAGCAACTTCTGCTGACCACCTCCTGTAGTCTGGCTTGAGAGCCCGTGGGGGAATGGGAACCCTCGGTGGAATCTCTGGTTTATCTTCATCAGAAGTTGGAGATGACCTGTTGAAGTGTCCAGTTAGTCTCACTATGGGTTTGTTGAGAGATCCAGCTGGCCCAGAGTGGGACCTTCGCAGGCGCCGATGCAGCTGCTGGGGGGGAGGATAAATACTGGATATGTACACATTGAGGCTTTGTGTAGGGTTGGCTTCTTCTGGTTTTGGTCCTGCTGGAGAATCAAAATACGCATAGTTGATCTGTCCACAGCCCCTAAAGCTCCGCCGGCTTGGAGCGCTGGATTTGAAAGGAGGAAGTTCATAATCTTCTAACAAAAAGTCAGTGTCTGAGCTAGTCAGGAATTCCACCTCTTTGTCAACCTCATCTGGAGCAAAGTCTTCAGATATGGGCAGAGGGGGCAGTGGCCTGCAGCTGCGGTCAGAAGATGCAGACAGAAATGGAATTGGTCCAGTTTTTATTGGCATGTGAGGAGGGGTTTCTTCAGAAACACAGCCCATGGTCAATGAGAGTTTACTGAAGCCAGGAACGAGGTGGTCGTCGTACCTTGAAATTGGCTGTTCAATTTTGGGACTTACAGGAGGTGGACTGGATTTCTGAGATGGGACTTGGATGCAACTTCCAGCAACGTGGTCATTCATGGAAGGCTGGTTGGAAGAGTGCCCTAAAAAAGTGAGAAATTCTTAGAGACACTTTTCTAAGTAATACTCCAACACACAACTCTGGCACTGCATATTTAATTCCTTCTAATGCAGCAGTGAGTAATGTCTGCTTAATGTCTTGAAGTAGTGAAATGCAGGTATTGCAGATACATCTGGTCATGGATTTATGCATTAGTAGTGGAATGCAGGTATTGCAGATCATGACTGGTTGTGAATTTATGCATTAGTAGTGGAATGCAGGTATTGCAGATCACATCTGGTTGTGGATTTATGCATTAGTAGTGAAATGCAGGTATTGCAGATCACATCTGGTCGTGGATTTATGCATTAGTTAAGACAGCAGCAGATTATCTTATTGTTTTACACCAGTGCTCTAGTTAAATGAGGTAGTTCAAGAGACTCCAAGCATAAGCAAGAGACCCACAAAGATCCCAGCATAAGACCACAACAAGTAATTTTTTTACCAAATATTTTTTCCATCAAAAATGTAATGGCAACTCAGAGGCCTCCTATGTAGAAGGTGAATGGGAAAGGACTGGAAAACACCTGGATGCTTCCAAGTGCTGTCTCTACCCAGACACACATGGATTTATGTGTAAGTGCACTCACAAAACCATGTGGAAGGGTGGCTATAAGGATAATTGTATAGGTAGTTATCTACATTAACATGCATCACACATATGGGTGCACATGAATGTATTAGAAAGACAAGCAAATACAACAGAAGAGTCAAAAAAGCCAGAAAAGACCACAAGAACAATCCAGGAGTTTTTCTGCTTTGCATTAGGCAGTCATTATTATCTAAAGCAACCTCTGCTAGGCTGCACAAGATGCTGAAATCATAGAGTGTGATGAGAAAAGAAACAAGAACAAGCCATGGAACGATGGTTGAACTCGATGGTGCTCAGAGAGCTGTCGGTTCCCGGAGCTGCCAGCAGGGAGCAGGCCCAGCCCAGAGCGGCGCCCGCAGCGTTTGCACAGACAAACCCCCGACACTTCCCCGCCTCGGTCACACCGGCACTTACCGATGGATGGCAAATGTTGCTCGGTTGATGAGTTTAAATTATATGTCACTGCTATAGGCTCCACATTGAAGAAAGTACTAAAAAAAAAAAGGAAAAAAAAGCCTTCACTGTAAATGAACCGTAAGTCTGTACTGGCACAAGTAATTGTAACACTCATTTCATAGACCTAAAGATAAATTTTAGGCTCACTCACTTTTCAAATCCACTGTGGGTGCCCCAGCAGGTTTTCAGACTGCCCATGCCTTGACTGGTGTGCAGAAATCCGGTTTTTAAGGGGACTCTCATCTCCTGAGCAGCAACTCCTGCAGTTGACATGGTGCAGTGCTCTCTGAGGATGTCTCACAACCCTTGATATTCAGGACTTGGCAGGTTTCCTGCAGTTTTCATTCCCTTCAAGGGGGAGAACACAAATGTCAGAAATGCAAACCTGATGTTGTTCCATGCCTCATCTGAAATTTCAGTATTCAAGGAATTAAATAGCTCTGTAGAAAGGCCTCCTATCCTAATACTTGCCAACTGGAAAACTTGACCAAGCTTCTTGTTTTGAATCTGATTGCAAAATTAAAGTACAAAACAGGGAAGTTCTCTTAAAGAACTTCATAGAAAAAAAGGAAAAATATGTTAAGGTACTGATATATGGCAGTTGTGTATCCCACAGCTTCAGTTCTTGAACATAAACTAGTAGTTACTCATGCAAAAAAAGTGGTTTTTTTAAAAAGTTCTCTAGAATAATCTAACCTTCCAGTGGCTGCCTTCAGTTGTATCTTTGCTAAAGATTTGAGCTTCCAGTGTAACCAGCACGTAACTGCTGTTAAGTTTTATCTTCCACAACCTTTGCTCTAATAGACAGAATTACTGACTGCTTGAATTAGAATACTAAAACTTCTTTTACATAGAACAGTCACTATTTTTAATTAACTTAAATATTAAGATACTTTAAAACAGTTTCAAGTCTTCTGGCTATTTCAAACAAATTGGAAATCTAGTGATTTGGAATGATCTCAGCTGACACTGCTGTGCTGCATTCAAATCTATTTTGAACGTGTTAAGAATGCTTTATCTGGTCCATTTATGGCAGAAAAAATATGTTGGCAATTGCTTTATATTGAGTAAGTAATCAGTCTACTGAACAAATTGACTCACAGGACTTTGTTTAGGAAATTCATCAGGGAGGGGAAGGGGAAATGTAAAATTAGTCAGCATTCTGAAGGCAGGAGAAAATTAAGTCCAAGACTATAAAAAATACCTTCTCTGGGTCTCTGCCTCATCTAGACAAATATCCTACATTCAGCAAGTGCAATATGGTCCATTTAAAAAAAGATTAAAAACCTAACAAACCAAACCCCACACAAAACAATTTAATTTGTATCTCTCTTGAGAATGAACATCTAATATTCATGTGAGTTTGTCCATATCCCTCCACCAAAAGAATTCCATCTAAAGGAAAGTCAACCAACAACCGAGGGCTGGCAAATCAGGGCTCAGCAAACAAGGCAAGAAAATCCTTCCCAGAGTGGTACTGCAAGAAAATGTGGTACAGACACAGGCAGGAGCTTATGCTCGTGGTAAATCTGCCCAAAACCAGGCATTCTATGCAGATGGGAAATCTTCCTTTTCCTTTAGCAGAAAATATCCATTATACTGGTCTGCAGTGTGAGGGATGGGCAAACTCCTAAGCAGGACTAAGGACAGTAAAACAGGTGCCTGAGGATTAGTTTGGAATCCAGCATCACTATTTGCAATTTCTTAACAATTGTTTGAGAAAGAACAACTCTGCTGTGCTCTTTCAATTTGGAACTGGTCTAGTATTGATCATCTTAAGAAAACAGTGACTTCTGTATGTTTATGGTGTGTGAGACCGAATCCCATTCTCTTCAGGAGTGCCATGGTTTTCTCAATCCTGACTGTCTGCATCAACAGAAGTGGGGTTGTTTTACTCACTGCCAGATACCCAATATATTTTAGGCAGGCATTTCAGAATAACTCCAGCCAGGAGACTTTAACAGAAGTGAAGCAGTGTTCTATGTACTGCAGCACAGCCCTGCTTCATTCAGCCCTCCTGGTTCTAGGAAAGACCAACCTCTCCAGACAACCTCCTTATAAATCTAGCTTAACCCTGGAAATTTTTGCATAACACAGTTTAGTTAGACCCTTCCCAGTAACAGGAACTGCAGATATTTCATAGCAAAATGAAATAAAAACACAGAGCCCTGGGAAGCAATAACACAGTCCTGTAAGTGCAAGTAGAACCATTCTCTTCAGGGATAGAGATACCCATTTGTCAAAATGACTTCAATATTTATTAATGACTTAAGCATACAATACACATATAGCACCAATTCTAAAATTACTCCATATCAACATAATTTCCAAATAAAACCTCCCTCTTCTCAGGTCACACTGTATTGAACAGTGATTTGGTTTCTTTGTGCCTCACGGATCCTATCCTATTAGCAACAAATCTACAAAAGAAAGAAAATTAATTAAGAGAGCTTAAGACTAATGCCTGCTATCCATTTCAATATTTCTGAAGTCAAATGCAAGTCACAAGGTAAAAAACCTCTGGTATAGAACACTGATTAGTCAGCACATGATTGTACTCCACCTCAGTGTGTGTACAGGAGCTGACAGGACCATGAGACATTGATTGTGATATAAAAACGAGGGGGGGAACAAGTGCTGGAGTTGGGGAGCACAGGTAACGTGCTGGCTCTGATAACACAGCCCTGGCAGGGCTTGTTAAGCCCAACCTCCAGCAAATCCCACGCCTAAACCACTGCTAGTAATTACTGTGTCAGCTTTCTGAATGCTGTCTAAATCTCAGCTCTCAAGACTGATGGTTGCACAATCACCTCTCTGAAATCTCTCTGGAATGCTAAGCTCAACATCTGAAACAGACTTAAATATTTACATACTCTAGGAAAAGGTGATTTTCACTTGTTTCGGTCTTTATTTTTTTAAAAATAAAGCACAATTTATATAGCCATAAAGCTTGCTTCATTCATCATTGAGCTCTTTGGGAATTCACAGGTGATTTGACATTTCAGAGAATTGTGAAACTGTCCTCTGTGCCTTAAGCTAGGATATCAAGAGAGGCAGTGCTTTCACTGAAGCACCCAGGTACTTCTTCAGTGGAGTCCAGAGAACTGGTGCTTGTATTTTAAAACATACATAAGCTTGTTTGAAGACAGTACTTTAAGAGAAGACATGAAAACAGTAATTGAATACAGTCTGTATTTTGGACAGCATGCTCTTACTAAAGCTGAGTAGTATATATTATAGTCTAGGAATTGGTATTAAAACAAATTACAAAATTCAGCCATGAAGATGTAAACATCAACAGTTTTCACTGTTAACTGCTGTCCCAATTCTGCTTCCTTAAAAGTTTAAGGATCTAAACTTAGCCATAAATAACATCAAACTCTGTTTGCTGAAGAAAATGGACCCTGCACAGTAATGAAGCTTTCCTGATCTCCCATTTGTGTGCTGCTCATTTGCACAGAATGGGCTTTCAGTTCTCTGCCTGTCTGACCTACTTATGCAGTTGATGGCATTTGGGAAGATTGAAGCACTGTTGAAGATGGCACAGTTTGTGTTATTGCAGAGGAACAGAGTACAAACTCAAAGTATGGCCGGTGATTTCCACAGGGCATTTACAAGCCAAGGCAATGGAAGATTTGCTGGTGCTTTAGGAAGCTGTGCCAGCCTTCCCTGTAAGGCACGGGAACAGGGCAAAGGAGGTGCTGGTGATCACCCAGCTCTGCTGGTGTTAACAAATATCAATAACAGCAATTATTGGGGAAGAGATTGATTTTTTTTAATTTTTTTTTTTTTATATAGCCAAATATACCTTCAGACTTCAACAGGATGGCAATGTGTAAGCCAAAAATAATCAAATGTATCCATAAATACTAGCATATCTACATAGGACAACTGTGGTAAGATTTTTGAGGTAAGTTGAATTACAGCAAATACCCCAAATATAGTTTTCATACAGATATATATTAATAAATACCTGTGTTATAAAACAGTAACCCTCTGTTTAGAAACTAAGCAGCATTTGCATATGTATTTAGCCCAACCTATTGCCTATCACTGATCACACACACAATCTTATTCCTCTGTTCCTGTTCTCCCAGCCCCAGTGCAACCAAGTATTTGAGGCGAGTTAAGTTCATAACAAAGAAAACCTTTCTGCTATGCACACTAGACCAAAGCATGCTCCAGAATGTTTCATTTAATGGCTATGGGATACAGAAACTTGCTGTACTGAATGCCTGGACAAACTTTAGACAGGTTTTATAAAGGCAGCACTCTTGACAAGGAGCTTATACAATTCTTGTAAGAAATGGGAAAGAGGGAAAGGGAAAAATAAGACCTGCTTACCCCTTTGGGAGGGGAAGAAACGTGTCTACCTTAAATCCACAACCTATTTTTGCTCACCTTGCCACCACATTATCTTTAACAAATCTCAGAAGCAATTCACAGGAGGAGGGGCACATTTTTGCACTACAAGTCATCTACTCCAGCTAGCTGTTCCTTATTTGACAATGTGATGTAATTTCCTTTTTCTCCTCTGACTTTCTATTTAATGTGAGTACCTGAGATAGAGCCACCCCTTTTCATATTTAAGTATTTAGACCTCCAAGTACTAGACTTGAAAAACCTAACTACTGTTATATACTTTCTGGAACTCCAAATACTTTAAAAAATATTTAAAATTCTGTTTCTCTAGTTCTTATCCCTCAAGTACTTCTGTCTTTGTAGCTAGATGAATGCTGAGTAACCAACACTTAGCAGAAACAGCCTCATGAGAAAGTTAGTTTAAATCTTTTCACTTAATAAATAATTAGATCTTTACTATGCACCAAACCTCCACAGTGCAGTTCAGTATTCCTGAGTCACAGGTCAAAGCATGCTCAGATACAGGCCTCAGAAGGTTATTTCCATTTATAGGAATTATATTCTTTACAGTTATTGTATAAATGAATTACATTCTTAACTTTGAGATATTTTTCTACACATTCTACCAACCAGAAATGGACCACTCTGTGGTAAAGAATTATAGACTAGGATCACTAAACAGTCATATCATGGGTGCTTGCAAATAAAACTAATCCTGTGGGTACACAACAGACAAATCAACTCAACAGCAGACAAACTCTGTATTTAGATTGTAGCAGTCAGCTATTGGAATATATTCAAAGAACCACAGTTCATCAAGGAGTTTGAGTTCAGTTAAAATTTGGGCTACCATTTCACAGTCCTACACAGCAAATGGGAGTAACCTTTAAATTGCCAGTAGAAAACTAATAATTAAATAGCAAGGCAATTGCCTTGCCTCTGCTTGTCAGATTTCAGATGCATGCTTAAGGTATGGTACTTCACCCTCCTGAAAATTTTAATGTGAATATAGACAGCTTACATTCAGGAAATAAAAATTCCTTTCTAGCTGACTCAGACTCATAACCATAGTGTTAGACACACTGTGATAAGTTTTAATTCTCTTTTCTACTACAGAGAACTGGAACTGTTTTTTCTCTGAAATCAGTCCTGTACTGCAGAGCATGGCAGACACAGGGCTTCACCAAGAACATGTGCCCACCAACTCAACAGGTAGGTTTCTATTAAAAAAAAAATCAGAAAATTATTCCATATAGGTAGATTACTAAGGAATGACAGCTAAGTTTCTGCATAGAGTAAACTGAGTAGTTTAACAGATTGTAAGTGCAATTCACAAATGCATTTGTGATGCAGAGGCATCATTCACCTGCCATTCCAGTACAACAAAGATTCAGGTATTCCCAAAATGACCAAAGACACCTTGTCCCCAGAGCCTTTCCCATCCAGCTAATCTGTAACGAGGTACTGTTATCTTTGGATCAAGCACAATCTGTTTTTTGCTTATTCAGAATAATCAGCACAGGGCCCTTGGTCAGTGACAGGAGAGCACTGAAGTCTCCCTGGAGTCCCCAGCTCGCTCTGCTGTCAAGGCTGAAGGATACAGCGATGTCTCCAGATTTAACCACCACAGACTGGCTATTTTAGAAAATCGAGCATAAGTGCGTAATGAGGTATTAAGTCACAAAGAAATGTTTATTCTAAATTAAGCCAGCCTAAATTAGAGTGCGAAGCGCAGAGCCTGAGCCCACAGTGCGGTCTCTTGTTTACTCACAGGAGCAGCTCGGAAAGAGGGAGAGAGCCCTGATACTGTTTCGGCTCAGGCACAAAACGCGTGGCACGCCACGTTGATTTTCAAGAATGTGGCTGCGGGCAGCGCTGAGCCCGGGCGGGTCCCGTCCCCCTCACAGGGACCGCGGCCGCAGCCACCGGGGCCAGTGTCGCCCCGGGATCCCCCGCCAGCCCCGGGGGAGCGGAGCCGCAGCGGCTCCGGCCCTGCTCCCCCCGCCCCCTCAGCGCAGACCGCGCTCCCGGCTCCTCCCGCCGCGCCGCCGGCGCTCACGCGCGCCCGCCGGCGGGGCCGCACCGCCGCTCCGAGCCCCGGGCTCCGCCAACCCCGCCGCCGCGGCCCGACCCACTCGCGTGTACCGCCGGATCCGCCGGCCCCCGCTTCCCTCCCGAGCGGCGCGGTCCGGCGCGGCAGGGACGGTGCGGGCCCGAGGCGGGCGGGCAGCCCCGGTGCGGCGGGCGGGCGGGCGCGGGGGCCGCCATGGGCGCGGGAGGCGCCGCGGGGCCGTCACTCACTCACCCCGACAGTGTCGCGCAGCTCCGCGCGGCCGCCGGCGCCACACGCATGCGCCGCCCCAGCGCCGGTCACTGCCGCGGCGCGCGCCGGCCGCCGCTCTTATGCAGGGGGGCGGAGCCGCGGGTGGCCCCGCCCCGCGCGGCGCGTTCGTCACGGGGGGCCCGAAAGGGGCGGGGGCGCGCGCGCCCGTGAGGGTGGTGAGGCGGTTTCCGGTTCCGCCGGGCGCGGGGGCCGCGGCGCTTCCCAGCGGGATCCGAGCGCAGGCGGTGCCGCTGCTGCTCCGTGCCCGCCGGCGGGAACGGCCCCCGGGGCGCCCTCAGGGCGGTGCCGCCTCCGCCTTGGCAGCCCCTTCCGCCCCGGCCTGCGGGACCGACCGTCTCCGGGCTCAGTGAGAGCGGCGTTCGCCAGGCGGGGGGGAAGAACGAGGAGTTCGCGCTCGGCCCCTCACAGCGGCGGGCAGGCAGCGCCCGCCCGGGGATGCTGAGGCGGTGCCGCTCGGTTCTCCAGCGCTCGGCGTCCTGCCCTGTCCTTCTCTTTGCCCTGATCCCTCAGGGCCGCTCCCAGCTGCTGCCCGCTTCTCCCGTGCCCGCGTTCCCCTTTCCTGCGGCGGCACTCACTCGTTCTGTTTTCCCCGGTTGTCGCGGTCCTGTCCGCCGCTGTCAGGCACCGCACTGCACGTCTGTGCTGGGAATCTCCCTCCGCCTTCCCCGGGCTCCGAGCCGTCCCTGCCGGCAGCAGGGAGCGCTCGCTCCCCCGGCCAGGCTCCGAGCGAGCGGGGCTGGGACGCGGGGCCCGGCTTGAGGAGAGGCGGCGGCCGCGGCTCCCCCCGGTGCTTTTCTCTCTCTCCCTCTCCCGGTGCTTTTCTCTTTCTCCCCCTCCCCCGGTCCTTCTCTGTCCCTCTCCCCCGCCGTGTTTCCCCCGTCGGTGCCTCATGATTTTCTCTCGTAAACGGGTCCGAGGTGGGGCCAGCCTGTGCCCACGCGTGTTGGTGACCGAGTGTTTCGCAGTCACGGGGAATCCCTGTCCTTTACTATTACCGGAAGGAGAGAGAACGCCAAATCTTTCACTGTTGTAGGAATTGGTCTTGTGAATGTCAGTTTTCTTGAAATAGGCATATTTGTGTTGAAATAAATCTGTCTTCATGTGTAATGATTTATTTGGTATCTTGAGAAAATACGGGTGGGCTCTCACAGATTTGGCATAGATTCGTGGTGATAAATAAACTACAGTGTCAGAAAAGGAGGATTCATAGTGAAAGCTGCTATTTAAGGACTTGAGAGCATTTATAAGTGGTGCTGTTCATTACAGCATAAACAATACGAATCAGGCTTTTGATCAGTTTTGCTCTACACTGCAATAATTTCTTTGCTGGAGAAAGAAAGATCAGTGTGGGACTCTTGGAACTCACAGCATTGAGAGGTGCTTACAATGGGATCAACAAAATGTGTCTTCCATCTATACTCTTTGAACTGGAATAGTTACTGATATTTTAAGAAGAATTCTTCATTTCAGTGTGTGATGTGATGCATCATGCAGTTGACTTCTCTTTTTTCTTTGGGGTTTCTTTTGACTTCTGGTGAAAATTCCCCCATCTACCCTTGTTCTTAGGAACAATAAGATCTACTTATGTATTTTTATCATAATATCTGTTGTACTGCTGTAAAAATACAGGTGAGATGAGAAAAAAGGATAGGGTTATAAGGAGAGATTTCCAGTGTGGAAAATGATGAAGAGTCCTCTAAAGTTGACTGGACATGTTATGCAGGTCAGAGAAAGTGAAAAGAATACGAAGGGAAGTAGAAGCCATGGAAAGGCAGGAGGGGAGAGAGTGTGGGTTTGTGATGTTGATGAATTGGGGTGCACTTAGCAGAGACTGCAGAATGTTTGTGTTCTGGACTGTACGTGCTCAGAGGCTGCTTCCAAGTATTTGCTGTACTTCTATTGTTCTGGACTTGAGGACCGTGACTAATTACTTCTGTGGATAAGCTGGCCCTGCAACTTGAGTTATCTCAAGTTTAAATTGTCCTGGTTGTGCATGAGGAGAAAGTAATTTCTTTTTATTTTCCTTTTTTTTTCCCTTTTTATTTTATAAATTCTGCTGTGTTGATGTACATAGTGACTGATATGCAAACAGCCCTAAATGTTGTAATGAATGGGTACAAAGGACAAACTTGTCTTTGAAATGTTCTTCACAGAATGTTGACATGATTTGATTAGGACAAACTCTTGTAGTGCCTCTGTGGTGGAACATGAGGAATAATAGATGTTTGGCTTTTTACTTGTTGGTACCTGAGAATCTTTAATCCAGGAAAAGATCTTTCTGGTATTCCCCACAGGTGTTACCCTGTGGTTCTGTACTTTTATCAGCAGGCCTTGTTTTATTTTGTTGGATAATTTTGGAGTTAGTTCCTGTACATGTAATTGCATGGAATTTTTTCTCTTACTGTTAAATAACTTTACCTGTGGCCTTTGTTCACTAAAACTCCAAGCCTTAAATTTCTGATTGTTCTACTGAATAAAAACTTTTAGTAATGGTCTCACTTGCAGCAGTTTCTGTGCTG